CCCCCTTCCAGGCACAGTGAGATGCAGGGGCAGCTGTGCCCAGGGGCTGTGTCCCTGGGGCACTCTGATGCGGTGTAGGGTTTTTTGGCCCTTCCTTGTGTGTCTTGAGGTTGCCTCTCCCTTGTAACCTCAGAGCTTCAGGATGCTCACTGATGCCCACTGGCTTTTCAGTGTTTTTTTTTTTTTATGTTATTAAACTGCTGTCTACATGTTTAGCTTTTTTTTTGCATTTTGACTTGCTTTATGACACGATTCTCTCACTCTCCCTTGGTTTTGCTGTGAGGGCCAGCATTTCGCGCTCCCTGAGGCCGACACTCCGTGGTGTGGAGTGGTCACGTCTTCTTGACCCAGTGGCCGGTGGATGGGCGTGCAGGCTGCTTCCCATCCTGGCTATTGTAAATGACGCTGCTGTGAACATGCAGAGTAAACAGTGTTTTGTGGTGTTCCCTGCTCGTTACTGAGATGGCTGACAGTGCAACGCTAGGTCATGCGGCATGTTCCGTGCTTGGTCTTCTCGGGTGAATCCAGCTCGCTTTGCGTGGTGGCTGGGCCAGTCCACACTCCCCCGAGTGCTGTCACAGGGCTCCTCTTCTTCCCCATCCTCTCCAACACCTGTTGTTGGTGGGGGTCTTTTATTTTATTTTATTTTTTTAACTCAGAAGATCCATGGTTTTTATTACTTGTGTTTTATTTGCAACATTATGGGTCTTTTTTAAATTAAAATAGTTTATTTTTACATCATTGTGTGCCTTTTTCCATCTCAGTTGCAATCCCCATGGGCTTCCCATCACCAAATCACCCATGTGCTATCACCATAGTCCAGTGCAAACCCCCCCCCCCATTTTTGATCCCATTCAGCTCCACCTGTAAAATATTTCTGGTATATAGTTGTTCATTATTATTTTCTCCCCTGGTCCTTTATGCTCTTGCTATGATGAAACCATCTGGTATTTTTCCTTTTCTTTCTGGCTTATTTCACTAAGCATGATCCCTTCCTGCTCCATCCATGTTGCTGAAAGGCATGTGTTTATCTTTTTGATGGCTGAGTAATATTCCATTGTATATATGTACTACATCTTTATAAACCAGTCACCCACTTTTGGGCATTTGGGCTGTTTCCATGTCTTTCCAATTGTAAATAAAGCAGCAATAAACATGGGGGTGCAGGTGTCTTTTTGAATCAGTGTTTTTGTGTCTTTTGGATAGATACTCAGAAGTGGGATTGCTGGGTCATATGGAAGCTCCATTTTTAGCAATCTGAGAAACCTTGTTGGGGTCTTTTTAATAAGTGCCCTTCCCACCGGTGTGGTTTTCACCTGCAGCTCTCATTGGAAGTCATGAATGCTTTTTCCTGTCTGTTGGCTTGTGGGTGTCCTCTTCAGTGAATTGTCTGTGGCTGCTGCTCATTCGTTAGTTGGATTGTTTGTTTTTCATTCATCTTGGATGTTAACTCATCAGTGCTTTTAAACTCTCCCCCAGCACCCTGAGATTCCAGGTAGCTGCTAACACCCAGTGTTGCATCGAAGGTCTGTTGAGCACCAGCTGTGTGTCGGGCAGGCACTAAGCACTCTCTATGCTGACTTAGTTTCTCCTCGCACCACCCTTGAGGCAGAGACCCAGGCCCATCCCTGAGAGCAGGGAGAAGGCCTTGTCCATGGCCCCCGGCAGATGGACCAGAGAGTCGCTCCATCAGATTGCACTCAGGTTTTATTCCTCCTCCTTCCCTACAAGTCTTTGCATATTCTACGTTCAGAAATAGCATGGAATTGCTTGTTTTCATTCATGAGCATTATAGGGGACCAGGCTCTGGGAGGTAAAGTGGTTCCCCAGTTACTGAGGGGCAGGGCTGGGACTGGAAGGAGGGCTCCAGGCTCCCTGCTTGGTACTCTTGCCTCTGGGCTTGTTCCTCACCTATTTCTTGGAACTGTGGTGGATCAGCTCCTGACCTTCACCAGGGGATTGGTGCTGGGGGGTTTGAGAACCCGCCCTCCTGTCCTCCTCCTTTTTCCTTGAGGGGTGCTGGAAGCTTGCACCCTCTGGCTCGAAGTTGGTGACGCACATGTCCAAACATCCTCAGACTCTTCAAGGTGCTTCTTGTGATGTCTTGTGGGTCAGAAAGAGAAGGACGGTGTGGGGCTGCTTGCATCCTCGCTCTCAGGGCTGTTGGCTGATGTCCACATGTGCAGAGCTCTCCACGCGACCAGCCAGGGGACTTTGAGCTCGGCCTGTCTCTTTAATAATGTGCATGTTGACGTGGAATGGCTTCTCATACCTGGGCTCGAGAAGATGACGGTAAATATGTCAGGTGTTAATTGAATTCCCCACGTCTCCACAGGCCTGGAAGGGCATGTTGAGCTCTCGGGAGGCTCATTAAGTGTCGTTGCTCTGGGTTTGGGCAGCGCAGGGTACACACACGGGATGGAGACTGTCTGGCATGGGGCCAGTGCCTCGGGCTAGTTACAGAGGCCTCTGCAAGGAACCTGTCATGCAGGGCGGGTCCTGATCACCTGAACTTCCTGGGGCAGCAAATTGCCTCTTCGATACCTACACGGGGTTCAGTGGGTCTCGGAGGCACAAAGGCAGAGCTGATGGATGTGATCTAGCAGCAGGTGTGAGATGGATGTGATGGTTCACAAGTTTCCAGGGCTGTTGTTCCCAGGTGATGTTAAACTTCCCTTTGAATGTGAAGACTTTGTTGTTTCCATAAAGTGACATATGACTTCATAAGGAAAACGATAGTCTTAGAAGAAAGTACAAAGAAAAGCACCACATAGGCCCAAACCTCCGCTCCTAGAAATACCCTGTTTAGTATTTGGAAGGCACTTTTTCAGATATCTCTGTGTACATCTTCAGACACACTCAGCAGCTAGAGAAATGGATAAATAGGCACTTTTAGAACACCGTGTTCCTGCTATGCATGCACGGTGTTTTCAAAATAAAAACACTTAATTCTGCTTCTTTTAACAGAAGCGTTGAAAACTGAAGTCCTACTGAAGACATTGCTGAACCTCAGATAACTATTTCTTCCATCTAAAATTTAGTGTGCCCATATTCCTCTAAAGCAGTGGTTCTTAGCAGGGGAGAGGGGTGAAGGGGGATTTTTTTCCTGGGTGGGGAGACATGTGACAATGTCTGGAGACATTTTTGGCTGTGAAGTTGGCCACAGGAGGGGATGGGAATGACTGTCATCTACTGGTTAAAGATCAGGGAGATTGCTAAACACCTGTGATGTCGGGGACCCCCCCCTGTCCAATTATCCAGCCCACAGTGTCAAGGTTGAGAAACTGCACTAAGGGTAAGAGAAAAAAGATGACTGAAACCACTGGAAGCACTTGAGGCTGCTTTGCTTGCGCTTCTATAGTGAAAGATGAGATGATTAACCTCATTATGTTTTTCCCTCCTCTTAACAGAGTCTAGAGGTAGCATATGTTGTTTATGCCTTGTCAAGGTTCATAACATTTACGTTCTGTCCTGCAGTCATGAGCCCCAGATGTTTAATTTTATTCTACATTGAAATGATTTGCTGCCCAACGCCACTTCTCAAACATGGCTTGCCTTCCTGGCTCTGGGTTTTCTCTTGCATTGCCCCTTGGTGGGTTGGCAGCTTGATTTCAATACGCACTCAATATGTACAGGAAGCATGCTCAAAAGTACAGGCCCCACTCCTTTCCAGGAGGTTGGCGTGATTGAGTTGGGTGTCAAAGTAGCACGCTAGAAGAGGAGTGACTCGGGCAGTGTCTCTAGGCCACTCTGTGGGTGTAAGACAGGGTCCCGGGTGCTTGTTGCTAGGAACAGAAAGCAGAAAAGCTGTGGATGGTGTGCTCTTACCACGTGAGAGCAGGATTGGGCTTAACTTTGAGCCTCCTGGAAGGTTAGAACTAGGGCATGTAGAAATAAGGGGCAGGTGAGGGGAGGATGGTGAGTTCTCATTAGCAGAGTATGCTGGGGACACCCACTGTCTTACTGCACTGGGATCCTGGTCCCAGCCCTTCCTGGCAGCTTTCTTTAGGCACCTCCCCAACCTTGAGATGCCAGTAGTCTGGCGATGCTTCCCACAGCCCCAGTCACTGCGCTCCTCCCCTGCCGCCCCCAGATAAGGGTCGGGACCGAGCCTGGTGTTGTTTGCACACCTTGAATATCAACTCTATCTCTTGACTCAAAAGGCGATATATCAATGTGGTAGAGTCTTCCCGACTCTTCCACTTGCTGTGTCTGGCGTCTCAAGACGCAGGGACTGAGCACATTCTCAACCTGTTCTGCACGGAGCCACGTGTATATGATCTGGGCCACATGTCACGGACTGTACCGCCTGTCCTCTGTGATTGGATCGGTGTTCTGTTAGTGTCTTCTTCCAACATCTATCCCAGGGTGACTGACGCATGGCTTTGCTTCATTGTAGGGGAGCTACCCGGTGTGGGAAGACTTCATCAACAAAGCGGGAAAGCTGCAGTCCCAGCTTCGGTAAGTAGAGGTACATTCTCCCTGGCAGTACGTGACACCCTTTACACAAGTGGAACGGGACAGACCTACCATGCGGTTCGGGGTTCATTGCAGAGGCGTTACGGGTACAGAAGCCCACAGTGGCTTCTGCTGCAGCCACTGCCACATGCTCACTCTGTGTTGGGGTCCGAACCCCCATACGCAGTCCAGCTGCACCTGTTCTTCCTCCTCCATAGGGATTTTGTGAGTCAAGTGAGGCTTGACGTGCCAGGCGACGGTGGGCGACATTTATGCTGCGCTTGCTGTATGCTGAGCACATGTCAGTGAAATTGACATGTTGGTGAAATCTTCCTTGTAACCCCAGGAAATACAGTTAAATCCCCCATTGAACTGATGAGGAAACTGAGGCGCGACAAGCCGGGTAACTTACCTGGAGCCTCACAGTAAGAGGCAGGCATTTGGACTGAGGCATCTGACTCCCTCCAGAGTTCCGTTGGCTTTCTGCCACTCGGTGTGAGACCTCGCGTTGACTGTTACGTAACTCCATTTACCTGAGAGACTCTCGGGAAGACAGATCTGGAGGTGGATGTTGGTGAGTGGTTGCCTTGGGGCTGGGAGTAAGAAAGGAGACTGACTTTAGTGAGCACAAGGGATCATTTGGGGAATGTTCTAAAATTGGATTATGGTGGTTGGTGGTTGCTCAAATCTGAGTTTATTAAAAAAAATCAGTGAATCATCTACCTCAGAGAGTGAATTTTACGGTATGTAAATTGTGCTTCCATAAGGTGTATTAAAATATGCAGCTCTAGTGCAGCTCTGGTCCCAGGGGCCATGACTGCCGCCCAGTCCTGTGCTGGCTCATGTATCACTTGATATGAAATAGGAAATATGCCGCATCCTCTCGTGAAAGCCGTGACCTCCTAAATCAGTGGGCAGAAGGGTTGCTATAGTGGGGCCCCTGAGGGGTGGGACATTGAAAGTGCAGTTGTTTTAGGGCCCCTGTTGTGACATGTGAGGAATGATGTTGGTTGGCTCTCAGGTAGTCAGTGGTTTTCCAAGAATAAAGTCTTAGGGGGCAGATAAAGGGTACCCCAAAATGCCAAGCTTGCCTGCTCCAAATGGGTTCTCCCTGGGCCTCCCTAGTGGTACAAGGGGTTAATCTCAGTGCTATGAAGATATTCGCAGCCACCCCTGTGGGCACAGCAGACCTCTCCTATCTCACCAGCTGTTCACCTTGGCAGTGTTTTTCAGTTGATCTGCTTGTTCTGCTGCCCACTCTGCCTCTGGCGAATCCTCTCACCCTCCACACCTCTGGCCTGTACCTCAGCTCTTGTGTGCATAAATAAATAAAAATAAATCTTAAAAAACCAAATGAGTAAATGGGCTCTCCCATCCACTGCATAAAGGCAAACATGTTTAGTGTCTAAGACCTTCCATAGAAGACAATTTTAGTAGCATTAGTGTAGGGTAGAGAGAAAAGAAAGAATAAAGATAAAATGATTTCCAATTTGACACCCAAAGTTACCCACCTCCTTGTGGATAAATGTGCAGCCAATCAGGATTGGCTCAGAGCAGAGCCACTGAGTTCCAAAAGCTGCCTAGTCTAAGGCACCTTCTGGTAGGGACCCACAGGCAAGGGGGCAGGAGGGGCCAGCAAGTCTGGGAGGAGAAGAGTAAATACAAGTCAAGATAAGGGCAGCAGTTGTCAGCCTCCCTTTAGGTCTCTCACTAACGTTTCTGTCTCTTTCAAGTGTCTTCCTGGTGTCCAAATCCCGACTCTGCTCCCGGTGGTTCATCTCCGCCTCCCTTTTCCCAGTCTCTCTTAGCGTCTCCCTGCCCAGCTCCACCCACCCTGGGGTGGGGCAGGGGACCTGGACCCTCCCCTTTGGGGATTATACTCTTACACTAGTAGGTCCCTGCTTTCTAGGGTACAAAGCCTGTGGGTGACAGGTGTTCTCTGCCGGGGCCACCCCTTCAGCTGCAGGAGGGGAAGTCCTGTAGACCAGGGGAGACTGGAGCACGGGCATTTGCCCCATACTCCTTCAGCCATGTGGATTTCTCTTTACCAACCGGGACTTTCCAGAGCCTTGACCGGGCATCCAGATGGACAGTGGGGTTGGACGATGAGCCTCGGTCCATCTGTCAGGTCCTTTGCCATTTCCATTCTCCTCCGCCAGATACAGCCACCTCTGCTCAGCATATAGCTCCCTTCATGGAGGCCTCACTGTCCTCACTGTATTCTGTAGCTGCATTTGTTTGCCCTGCCCGCCCGGTCTCCACACTGTTATCACTTAGTCTAGTCACCAGCCCAGAGGGCATCTCCTCCTGTAGCAAAACGGTTAAAACACTCTTTTCTTGACCCAACCTCACTCACCAACCCTCGTGTCAGGGCTGATCAAGAAATAACCCTTCTTCCTCTTTAACCAACGAGGAACTCTATCATAAACATACTGATAGGACTTAAAGCAGTTTTATTTTATTCCCACTGGTACAAAGTACATTTTTTTTTTTTTAAAAAAAGATCGAGTTATTTATGCATATAAGAGTGGGGTGTAGGCTGGAGGTGCAGAGGGGTGGAGGTAAGAGGATTTCACCAGCGTCAGAGTAGGGAGCAGAACAGGCAGATCCACTGAAACACACTGCTGAGGGGAGCAGCAGGCAAGACTGGAGAGGTCTGTCGCGCCTGTGGGTCAGCTCCCCAGACAGGGATGGAACTCATGCCACAGTGGCTGCGAGAGCTTCATAGTGCTGAGACGTAACCCCTTGTGCCACACCAGGGAGGCCTCAAACTACATTTTCTATTCTCTTAAATTTTAGTATCCTGAGGGCAGGGACCATTCCATTATTATTATTGTTATTATTATCCAACTTGTTTTTGATCTAGACCAGTATAGGGACTTCCAGCATGTGAAAACCATTAGAGAAAGGATGAAGCCAAGAGGTGGAAGGGACAAAATCAGTCCCTTATCTTGGCTGCTTCACTACTTCCTCCTACCCCATCACAAAAGACAAGGTATTTGGGGACAAGGGACTCTGAGTCTGGGCTCTTTGGGAGGCAGTACTAAAAGGCGCTTCATTGCTCCCTTCGCCCCCCCCCCCCGCATTCAACACCCACCCCACACTGGATCCCCGTCCCCATTTCCGTTGGAACCTTGGTGACTTCATGTTACACAAGAGCCCTCTCCATCTGGCTCATTAAATTTGGATGATCAGCATTGTCTTGCATGAGAATTAGTTCAGTCATCATGTCAGATATTAATTGTAAATCGAAATGAGCTTTTTCTAAATCCCAGGGCATTTGATGGAACTGACTTGTCCAGGGTTTGCCAACTCTTTAAAATATGCTTTGAAATGGGGTTGTTTTGAATTTATGTTCTTTTTGTTTGATCAGAGTGCTTCCATGTTCTGTTGAAAACTATTAGACCTCGTTTTGAAGTTTGACTCAAGACTCGGGGACAGTCTCAGAAACTTCCAGAGCTTTGTTTCATAGTCCCTGTTGCTTTTGTTTCAAGTCCACTTCTTTCCTTTTTTTTCTCCTTTGCATCCCCTTCCTATCTAGTCCAGTGTTAACTACTTTTTTCTTTCAGCAACTCTGCATTTTGTTATGAATGTGCAGTAACAACTGGATTCATATGTGGATACTCAGAAATAAGCATCAGATTATAAGTTTGATTGTAAAGGCCTTGTCCGTGAGCCCTGGGGCTGACATGCTTTTCTCGGTATCCCTGGGCTTGGAGCGGCGCTTATTCTTCCTTGAATGACCTCTTGGGTCATGATTCTAGGAATCAGTAGCCAGCAGAATGCCTGAGTCCTCTAGAGAGCATGAAGGCTTGAAAATAATTTCCAGGACATTGACTGAGTATACTGAGTTCTCATCATGCTCTGCTTTCAGGAGTTCAGAAGATTTAGTTGAGATCGCTTTCTAAGTTTTAAAAGTTAGCCTATCAGCTCATGGTAATTATGATTTAGGGGTAAGTCACACAACTAGGATCTCGTCTTGTAGGGCACCATGAGTGATGCTGGGTTGCTTGACCCAGCACTGCTATGAATGAGTGAACTGAAAGTTGCTGTGTAGCTGTGATCTTAGTTTTCCCATCTGTACAGTGGATTGTTTGAAGTAGATGACCTTTCTAAGATTCCTTCTCCTGATATCTCTATATCTCTACATACATAAGTATTTGTCTTATATATTTGTATATATACACTATATATACATGAATGCATGATAGGTGAGGGCAGGGCTCTACCACTGAGTTCGATCAAGGGTCTCTATACACATGTATACTACATATATACATGTGTATATAGTGCATATATATCTATATATATAGAGAGAGAGAGAGAAACCCTTGGCCAACTCGATGGTAGAGGCCCTCACTTACATGCATTCAGAAAAATGCAAATATAACTTTTGACTCCTCAAAAGATTTTTTTTATTTAAAGATTTATTTATTTATACAGAACTGGGGTACAGACCAGAGGTGGCAGAGGGTGAGAGGATTCACCAGAGACAGAGTGAGGAGCAGAACAGTCAGATCGACGAAGTACACTGCTGAGGGGAGCAGCGGGAGGGTCAGGAGAGGTCTGCTGCCACACCATGTGGTCACCTCTGGACAGGTGGGGATTGAACTCATGGCGGAAGTGGCTTAAGCTTCTTAGTGCTGTGCTTTAGCCCGCTGCGCCACCAGGGAGGGCCCCGACTCCTCCAAAGTTTTAACTACCAGCGGCCTACTGTTGACTGGAAACCTGACAAAACAGTTAATACATGTTGTAAGTTATATGTTTTCTTTGTAAGTGAGCTAGAGAAAATTTCATTAAGAAACTTATCAGAAGACAGCATACATTTATGTTAATGTACTATATTTATTGAAAAAGTAAACCCCTGAAGTTCCTATCTGTGTTGTTTGACAGTTAGCTGTATAGATAAGCTTTCCTATTCCAAAATTAACTTCACCAAGTACCCTTTATATATTTGTAACCATGTTTTTCCTTTTAGGTAGAATCACCTTTTCCTTTCTTGCCTAGTCAGAGTCTCCTGTTCTTTTGCTAGAAGAACGGCTGGTGTTGCTTGACTAGCACCATAGGAGCTTGCCATGGGGAGGCGCTTCCAGAGAAAAAAGTGGGACCCCAAGTGTCGGGGCCCACTTGGGCTGTTGCTCCTGGACAGGCCTTGTCCTGGCAGAGATTGCCGCCTCTCAGCTGCCCTGAATTTGCCGGTGTGAGACGTCCCTCATGCTGTTGTTATCTGTTTCATTTCAGGACAACAGTAGTAGCGGCAGCTGCCTTCCTGGACGCCTTTCAGAAAGTGGCCGACATGGCGACCAGCACCCGTGGTGAGCAGATGGCGGGAGGCGTCGCCCTCTGAGCCCCGCCTCCGGGCTTGTCCTCTGGCTCCGCACAAAGATGGAGCTGGGGCGCTCAGGGCTCCGATGACTCACAGGAAAACATTTCTTTCTAACTCGGTGGGGCTCCACGTAGTAGAAGCTACACACAGCTCTCCAGACAGTCAAGCTGGGGAGGATGAAAACGACAGAAAAGACGCACCGCTGATTCTGGGGGCTGGGGAGGCGGGGGCTGTTTGGGGTCACGCTCCCTGATGTGTGTGGCTGTGGCGCCTTGAGCTGTGTGCCTGCTCCAGTTTGCTCCCCCTCCTCCCGTGGGGGTCTGGAGGTATCCTCAGTCCCCTGTGGAAGGGGTAGCAGCGAGGGGGACTCGATAGACGGTTTTTTGGGTTCCCTTCACAGGAGAAACTCTTTTGTCAGTAGTGTTCGCCTTTGGCTGCAGCCCCGTGAGCCACGGACTGTGGCTGCTTCGTGGCTGCTTCGTGACGACTCCCCCATCCCATCCGGACACAGCAGATGCTTAAAGTCTGTTTATGAAATCAATGAACAAAGGGAAATGGGTGGAAAATATGTAATAGTTCCAGTGACCACTGACCCACAAAAAAGAGAAAAACAACACATGAAAGGAATAGAGAGAAAACAAATACCCCTGTACTCACTGCCATGCTGGGAAATCCGATATTACTGTAGTGTAGGGACCCGGAGCCTTGGGGGGGACTTTCATGCCCAGGCAGAGAATCTCTTCAGCCTCTTCTTTGCCTCCTCTCTCTGGGTGTGATTCAGCACTGACAGCTTCTGCCTGGTCTCCTCATTGCCGGGGTCACATTGGCAAATGTGGTGTAGGGGCAGGTGTTAGGGCCTGTTGCAAGTCACATGGGGGTCTGGTCTACCTGTCCCAGGTACCTCCAGGAGGCTGGGAGGGGGACCCGCTTATCTCAGTTAATAGGTGGATTTACAGCAGAGACACTTCACATTGATTCGAGAAACGCAGACCTGCTGATATTTAAAGCGTTAGCTTGGGACCTGAAAAATCAATACATTACTCTCCTTATCCCGAAGGAGTTTGCAGTGGAGTGGGGGTGGCATGGAGTCAGGTCAGCGCTTCAGGTCAGTGCTTCAGTGTAGAGGAATGCCTGGTGTGGTGATAGAGTGAGTATAGAGTGCTGAGGGATCAGAGAAAAGTGAGCGGAGAAAAGTCAGCGCAGGGAGTGGAAAAAATCTCTCGGGGGAGGTAGTGTTTCTTCTTGCTTCCAAGATGCCAGGGGTGTTTCAAAAGTTTTCCCTAGGAGAATAGACTAGGAGGGAGACATCAGAACAGTGATTTCGTCCTCTGGTTTTTCAGCTTGATATGGGTCTCAGCCAGTATCTTTTTAAGTCCTTTTAAAAAATATTACACAGCTTATATTGGTCCTTATTTTTGTTTAAGTCCTTATAAAAATTACTACATAGCTTATATTTTGAAGAAACCTTTGAAAATACAGGTTTAAGAAGACAGTGACATTGAAAAGATGTTCCCCAGTAGTGGTATTACTGAATCTGCTTTATTATCCCCTTGTATTTAGCAGTATCTGGAACTGTCAGTCATATTGATGTCTTTCTAGAGTAGACATATTGAATACGTCTTTCATAAGAGTTGCTCTCTACTTTTGAGAACTTACTAGATCTCTGATACATAGGAAAATTTTCAGATTTTTTTCAGTGTTAATTGGATGATGGAATAAACACTTTATCTCTGAGTCACAGTTTTGTAAAACAATGTCACCTCAATAAAAGAAATGAAAATTCAAAAAGAAAAGAAAAAAAAAAACTTGCTCACATTTTCCTGCAATGTGAGCCTAGGTTTTTTGCGAGGTTGCTTCTCGATGAGAAACAAGGAGGCCTGCAAGTTCTCATGGTTGGAGGGAGAAAAAAACAGAGCAATCATTTGTGGGAAAAGAAACCAGAATGGCCAGTGTGTGGTGGTGGTGGAGGAGTTTGGAGGTGATAGATTTGACAAAAGGCAAATAATGTCATAGTGAACAGACCCTTGCTGCTGTCTGTTTTTAAAACATTTGATTTCAGGTCATTTTTAGCAATGCCAGAATACACTGTGTCATGATGTCCAGCATCCACCGGCGGACAGGGTTAGGGGAAGAGGTGGTGGGGTAACTTTCTGTTGCGTGTGGGAGTGGGAGAGGACTCACATGACCTAAAAGGCATATATGGTTGGTAGAAGGTGGATTTTATGAAAATGATGAGGGAAACTGAATGCATTTCTCATATACTTACTAAGCATGAGAAGTAGTGTTTATTTTAAAAAAGTTAATTTCTTTTAAAAATAGAAAAATATGAAGCATAAGCTTTAGCTTCAAAAAATGGTGTCACTAAGTGCATAAAGTGAAACCAGCTGTCCTTGTAGAGATTAGGTTTAGCGTCACTTATTTTATCTAAACACATATATTAAATCAAACATGAAAGATAGTCGCAGAACATATCTAGAATGATACATGGAGTAAAGTACATTCATGTGATCTTTGTCCTAAGGTAGCCCTTAAAAAGCAGTATCCCCATGTTTTAAACCCACGGTAGACCATAGCTGCCCTCTGTCAGTACCCTACACCTACCCATCCTTTCTGGTGGTCACTTGGAATTTCAGCGTCTGGAGCATTGACCCAAGTTAGTCATCCTTCCACTGGTGTCTATTTAGATTATCCCCATTTATTTGCTGTTACAAGCCATGCTGCGATTAACGCCCCTGTGTACATCCTTTTGGAAAGCTATGAGTAACCTAGTTTTAATGGTGTATGCGTCGCCAAGGAAACGATGAGTCTGGAGAAAACGCATCAAGCTGTTTTATCAGCAGCAGATGGATTTACTTAAGGTCACGGGCTGTAACTCTAATACAGTTTGCCGGCTGATATTTTAGCCGCTCCCAAAAGTCCAGTCTTCGCTTGGAGACTTCAGGTGTATTTTTTGAGTCTTTGCTGGAAATGATAGGAATAGCACTACATTGGGCTTCCAGAATCTTAAACTTAGCAGGTCTCTGGTTTCTATAGTATTCCATACTATTTCCCAGAGGAAACATCTTTGTTCTTTTTAGCCAGTATTTTATACCAGCTATTAATACAATTAGGGAAAGCTCATAATACTGGCCACTATAAGCATAATCCGTCATCCATAATGCAGTTACTGTTAAATAGAAAATGAAAATATATTTAGAACTCTGTTCTGTTTCTCGCTTAGACACATGAGTACACGTAGGTTAATAATTAAGCGATAATAATCAGCACGTAGTCCAGTATGCAGGTCTGTATTTTGTGGAGTGAGCACCTGGCTGTATACACACCTGCCTTCAGTAGGAAAGTGCCCTTTCCTGTGTCAGTGGCCACGAAGAGCTAGCACCTGGGGCTGGCTCTGCAGCAGGGCTTCATTTCCTCCCTGTCTGTGATGGACATAGTTGTTGAGAAATGTTGCAGGTGGCTGGCATGTGGTTGTCTAGTTCCTAAAGAAAGAAAAGAGCATGAGTCATAGTGCGAAGGCTTCTCATCTCTGGCAGAGGCTGCCCAGATTGGGAAACCACCTTTCTGCCCACCCTGGCACTCAGGCTGTCGGCTGCCGGTCTCTGGGAGGCAGAATTCACGGAGCCCAGAGGTGCTCCTGAGTCAGCACTTGCTCTCGTGGTCACTGCTCCTTCCGCTGCAGTCAGCAAGGGCTTTGAAGAGCACCGTGCTGTGACTTTCTTTTTGGTGGCCTCTGTAATTACTTCCTAGCTTTGACATAACCTCTCGGGGAGTTTGATGGTACAGCAACCCCATGGTTAGGAGGTGGAGATTCCATGAAAAAGATGCATCCCTTGCCGACTTGATCACCTTAATGTCCAAAGCCTTTGTGTCACTTTACCCAAAGTGGACTGAAAGTGGGCCATCGTGGTGACTGGGCTTTTTTGCATGGCAACACTGTCTGGACCTGGGGAATGTTCCATGCGCTTTGTCTATATTGAGTCTCCTTGTTCTTGCAGAGATGGTTGGTGCTCACGATCTCTGTTATAAGGAATGAAGTTGGGATGAAATTGGGGTGCAAAGTGTTTACCCACACTCACCAGGATCACACTACTAGATAGTGATGAAACTGGAGCATGGCCCAGAGCCTGGACTTCAACCGTGGAGTCATGATTCCATTTGTGAGCGGTGCTGTGACTGATCTGAAGCCCGTGCTGGCTTTTGCACTTGCCCGATTCTGAATGCATTAAAAAAGCCAAACCATGTGGCTCCCTGGGGTAGAGCTGAGATGGGACCTGGGGTGCCTGGCGTTGGCCAGCTCTGCAAACTTGTTAAACTATTCTTCCATTCTTGGAGCTCTAATTTCCCCACCTGTAAATGGATGTAGATTCCAGATGGTCACGAGTCATCTTTTTTGACTCTAATGTTCTCTGATTCTAAATCTGGTGTTGGCCCTATAAAATCCATTAAAGCTGAGTGAAGCCAGACAGTCTGAAATTTTTTCTTCTGTAGCCTCCTTAGTTTCCAATCCAGGGAGGAGATTGAAGAGGAAAAGAAACGACAGGTGGACATTTGTACAGGTGTGAGTCATAACACAAAGGCCCTTCCCTGTAGTGTGGTGGCCAAGGTGGTACAGGCGGTACTGTCAGGAGAGCCCGAGGTGCAGGTGGCCGGAGGTGTGTTCACCAACGTGGAAGCCATGGTTCTGGGTCTTGTCACAGGGGAGAAATCCCTGTGACATATTTTGGATAAAGCATTCTTAGTTCTTCAAAGTAAGTTTTTAAGTATACATCACTTGCTCTTAGTATAGATTATACTAAATGTCATGGTCGCTAGATCTAGCTCGATCGTACCCCTCAGAAGGTTTGTTTTTCTAAAGTCCAGTTTTCAGGGCCCCTGCTGGACCTATGACATCAAAGCATTGATGTGGGACCCAGAAATGTCCGATTTTAAGAAGCCTCCCAGGAGAATTTGCTCCCCAGCGAACTTTGCGCTGTCACAGGCAGCCTCTGG